AGCTTCCTGCTTCCACAGCTGCATGGCAAGGCATGGACACGATGGGTGGGGAGCCCTGGCCCAGGGGGCAGTGCTGGACTGTCCCACTCTCCTGTGGTGCCAGCTGGGCACTGATCTTAATTAGTTTGAAAACCTAGTGTATGCAAACACAGCTGTGACACTCCAAAGCTTAATTCGTTCAAAAACCTAGTGTGTACAAACACTGATATGATGCTCCAAAATGAACAAGTTTAAATATTATAAATCTATTTAATTTAATGAGGATTAAAACCTTATTCAAGGTGTGTACAGGTGCCCTAGGAATTTTAACTTTTGGTGATAAACAATGTTAGAATTTTTTGGTGGGGGGAATATAATCAATTAAGTCTTGGGGCATATTGGGCTGCATTGGTAGGTGTGTTGTCAGCAGGGCAAGGGAAGTGATTCTTCCCCTAGATTCAGCACCTGTGAGGCCAGATCTGGAGTACTGTATTCAGTTTTGGGTACCCCACTACAGAAAGGATGTGGACAAATTGGGGAGAGTCCAGCAGAGGGCAACAAAAATGGTGAGCGGGCTGGGGGACATGACTTCTGAGGAAAGACTGAGGGAACTGGGCTTATTTACTCTAGAGCAGAGGAGACTTAATTAGCAGTTTTCAACTACCTGAAGGGGGGTGCGAAAGAGGATGGAGCTGGGCTGTTCTCAGTGGTGGCAGATGACAGAGCAAGAAGCAATGGTCTCAAGTTGCAGCAAAGGAAGTTTAGGTTCTGTGTTAGGAAGAATGCTCTCACTTGGAAGATAGTAAAGCACTGGAGCAGGTTATCCAGAGAGGTTGTGGACTCTCCATCCTTGGAGGTTTTTAAGATCCGGCTAGACAAAGCCTTGGCTGGCATGATCTAGTTAGAAATAGTCTGGCTTTGAGCATGGGGTTGGACTAGATGACCTCCTGAAGTCCCTCCCAGCCCTAATTTTCTATGATTCTAAGTCTTCAACAAAGTGCACTTTATTTTGAAGTAAAAAGCGTCAAACAATTACAGACTCTTAAAGCAGAGATGGTCTTCCTTTCTGTTTATACTGTATGAAGGGGTGTAGGTTGTAGCCGTATTGGTCTAAGGACATAGGCAGACAAGGTTCTTTGGGTAAATCTAATATCTTTTATTAGAGCAACTCACATAGTTGGAAAAAATCTTCTTACCAAGCTTTCCTATTTAAATACCCTTTATCAGGCTGAGGAAGCATCTGCAGTTCTACTCTAAGTTTTTTTTTCTTCTGGTGGATTAGGTAGTTTCATTTTTTGTACTGCTTTCCCAGGAATGCTGAGAACTTCCCAGTTTAAAGCAGGACTGCATGGAAGATCAACAAAACCATGGATCTCCCCCTCACCCCAATTATGGATTAAGGCCAAGAATACCCAATAATATATGGGGGCACATTTCTCACAAGAAAAACCCTGTCTCCAATCTCAGTTCTAATCCTCAAAGGGAACTTACAAAACACTTTTCACAGGTGAGCCTATGAACTTCACTTCGTCAACCTCCTGGATACAAAAAATCATGAACTAAATATAGACATTGGATTTATGATGCATTATAACCTGCCTGACAGCTGACTCCCCAGGTACTTCTCCACTATTTAACAGCTACATTCATTCCCTGCCCGCCCCAGCCTGTTCATCACCCACTGACTCCTCAGTTTACATCTTCACTGACTGCCTGTCTTGCATAAATACTAGGACTGTGTGAAGCTTTGGTCGCTGATTTGATTCGGTGGAGATTCAGCCCAATTTGGCGGCCAAATCTCCGAATCAAAATCGAACCAGGAGACCCTTTAATCTTTCTGAATCGAATCAGAACCCTCCAAATCAATTCAGAGAGATTTGGAGAGACTTGATGATTCGGACATACACACCTTTAAATGTTTTTTCTACATACTTCAAGGTACAGGCGGCTTGTGAATGCTGAGATGGTGGGATGAATTGAGCATCTCACAGGAGTGCGGGAGGTCCCCAGCACGCTCAGCGTCAGACCGAGTAGTAGACCAGAAGCACATCTGGTCCATTTAGGGTCTGCTGTGGAGTGCACGAGGGCCCCACCCCCTGGCTCAGTGACTGGTGCCTCCTGGGTCTGGGGGGGCAACCGGGGTTCTCCCACGGCTGATTGCTGAGCTGGAGGGATGCGGAGGAGGTCCCTTGCATGCTCGATGGCAGACCCAGAAGTGGACCGGAAGTACTCCCACACACGCTCCTGTGGGATGCTCCATCTGCCCCACCATCTCAGTGTTCACGAGCCACGCCTGGTACCTCAAGGTATGTATGGAAAACATTTAAAATTGTGTCTATGGCCACATGGGTGACTGGCACCACCCGAGTCAGGGGGGGCATATGCCCTCCAGTGACTGGAGCAGGAATCCCCCTGTGGCCAATCTCGCCAACCGGGGGGTGGTCCCCCTGCGGCCGACTGTACCGGCCAGGAAGCGTGAGCAGTGTTCCTGGCCCACTTCCGGAAGTGTCAGCGGCACTTCATCCAGTGCCCCCGCTCCCCAGCTGGCACTCAGGGGGGACACCGGGGTTCCTGCCTGCCCCCCACCCATCACCTAAGTGGGGAGCACTGCCTGCCAGGGGGTGCACATGCTCCCCCTGCATGTTGCCACTGTATGGCCAAATCACTGATTCTCCGAATCAGCATTGAATCTTCAGATCTGACCAAATCGAATTGGGACAGTGATCCAAATCAACTAATCGAATCGCTGTCCCCCAAAGTGGGTTGAATCTGAATCGAATACGGCCTGCTTTGCACACCCCTGATAAATACTAGCCTAGCTTCTGGCTTCTTTACTATTCATTCCATCCAGGAAGAGCCCAGACCAACTGCAGATGCTTCTTCAGCCTGACAAAGGGTATTTAAACCCGAAAACTTGCTAAGAAGAATTTTTCCAACTATTTGAGTTGGTTTAATAAACGATATCAGATATGCTCAAATAACCTTGTCTCTCTATGACTGTATGAAGACGTAACTTGACAATGAATCCATAATTTGGGGTGGGGGGGAGGGCGAGGGGTGTCCATGGTTTTGTTGACCTTCCATGCAGTCCTATTTTAAACTGGGCAGTTCTCAGCATTTCTGAGAAAGCAGTACAAAAAATGAAACTATCTAATCCACCAGTAGAAAAAAACTCAGAGTACAAATTTATAACTTACTTAAAAAAATTAAATCTCTTATTACTGTCTATTATTACTGAAAAAAGTAACCTACAGTATACATAGGAAGGAGGTAATTACATACCTTATCTTATGGGTATGTCTGTGGTGCAGTGAGTGGTGTAGTGTTACCTTGGGTATCAGAAGCATTCTGATCACAGCAATGTGAAGTTCCCATGCTCCCTTGATTTCATCATATATTGGTTTTAAAAAAACAGCTGAATGTGTTGCACCCAAAAAAGTTGATACCTTCCATAAGGATTGTCCATTGCAGAGCTTCACCTTACTATTCCTAATGGTTTTTAGTGGAAACAGTTATAGATTTAGGTATCACTGTTGCTACTATTCCATGAGGTGCAACAGGAAAAATCAGAGGCTTACTTAACTAGGTTATTTGCTAGCTCATTATCTAGCTAGCTTATTATTTAGATCAGAGGTGTCAAACATATGGCCTGCAGGCTGGGTCTGGCCCAAAGAGCCCTGCTATCTGACCCCTCGTGCTGCTCTGGGTCTGAACAGACCCACATGGGGCACAGCATGCACTGGCCCAGCCCTGTGCATAGGGGTCAGAACATGTGCCATGTGGCACCAAGCCCAGCTACTTTAGGACTATGCCACGTGGGCGAGTGCATGTGGTATGGATCTTGGAGCACCCGGAATGGGTGTTGCGTGCGGCACAGTCCAGCCAGGGGCATATAGTGAGGATCCCAGACTGGCTGGAGTGGGTGCGGTGCTGCATGTGGTCCCCCCCCCAGCCAGTCCAGGACCCATGCTGTATGCAGTGACTATCTGGAGTAGGCACCATGTGTGTTGCAGGCTGGCCTGGACAGGCACTATACATAGCACAGCACCTGCTCTGGCTGGTCTAGAATATGCACTACATGGGCCTTCCTGGACTGCATTGTACACCGCACCCACTCTGGCTGCTCTGAGATCCACGCTGCATGCAGCACAGGTCCCCGAATGGCTGGAGCAGATGCTGAATCTGGTAAAATAGAGGAAGGCTGGGGGGTTCTAGCCCATGGATTGGTCCTGTGCCACCCCGATTGCCCTGTTTTAGAAAGCTGTTAAAAATCCTGAAAAAGTTAACACTTAAGTGAACTTCAAAGATTCTGTATCTGAAAAGTAGCGAGTTTGTAAGTTAGGGCCTATTACTTTCAAAGAATCTTAAGGAAAGGAGCTGGGCTCCCAACTTGCATTGATATTCAAGGACATTTCTCCAATTTCAGTACCAAATTATGTGAGAGTGATTACAATAAAAATTCCTAAAATGTGTGCTTTTTGAATTACGTTGAAAGGAAGCCTAAGAACAAGGAGCAAAGAAGCTGTCAACATCTGGCTACGTATCAGAGGGACATTTCTGCAGCAGTTTAGCTTCACAACATTTGATGCATGAACAGGAAGGGCAGAAGTTAATGATCATGCTTGTCTGTTTCCTGGCTTTCTGTAATGTGTTGCAAGAACTTTTATGTGACAATAATGGAATGAGATTCTTGAACTTGTATCAGGAGAAACAACAATTTGCTTTCAAGACATCTTTTTTCTCTAGGCCATATATTTTGTAATTTGGGAATGAAAGTACCATGTGCTCAACATTTTAACTTATGTGTAAAAACAACCCTTCTGCATCTACAATTTGTATATCTAGTGTATCTGAAAAATACCAAAATGTTCTGTTGTTGTTTAACAAGCTATTAAAATAAATTGAATGCTGCCTACAAACATTATGACCCTGAAATCGTCAGATTATGAACTTTTTGTTCCCTTTGTACTTTATGAGTATTTCAGATGACTAACATTAATGTTGCCCATTGCCATTTTCAGGCTTTGCTGTCTGTACATGATACTGTTGCTCAGAAGAACTACGATCCAGTGTTACCTCCCATGCCTGATGATATTGATGAGGAGGAGGACTCTGTTAAAATAATCAGACTTGTCAAAAACAGGGAACCATTGGTAGGTTATTGTTTCTTTCACTTCTTTTTTTCTATTATGAACATGGGTCATGGAAAATGCGTTTAGATTGCTTTATGCAGATTTACCCATAAGGATGAACAATGCTTATGTAAATTCTGTGTTCATATTATTGCTACTAAAATGAGTCAAATGGGTAGGCTACATGATGGGTTAACCATGTATGCAAGTGAGTTTGACTAGTAAAATAACTAAAGTATAATTTTTAAACTTTAATTTGTTAAAGGGAGAGAAGAAGGGTAGGTGAAATACCCAGTGAAATCATGACCATTGTCTTGAGCTGTGCTTGCTAGCTTTAAAGTTAAGAATGTAATCTTTCGTGGCACTAAATATAGACTGCAAAGCACATCTTTAAATGCCTTGATTTGAAATCTGGCCTAACTTAAGATATGTGTTATGAATACCAGAAAGCTACTGTCTTTGTGAGGATATCTGGAAAAAAAGAATGTGCTGAGCCAAATGTGTATTACAAGAGTATTAAAAGGTAGGTGCACTAATTTGGCTATTCTATTTGCCTCAGAGAGTGAGAGACATTAAAAAAAAACAAAACTATATAACTCTTCTCCCTATACCAACAAGTGCTTTGTTTTAGATTATGTTGAATATTTGTATTAATGGAAAAGAATCCTAAAGAAATATCTTTACAGTTGCTTTCAGAAAGCAGGTTTTTTGAACAGGGGTGATGTGACGAGAGTGATGCCTACGTTAGGCATACAGTGGTAGCTTGTCTTGGAGTGGATATCTCAGTAATGCCCACATTCTTGATGGATTTCTGGCAACAAGAAATGAGTTTTAGCATTGACCGACTCTGGAGACCCATGGGTACAATTAGAAGTTTGACCATATGGAAGGATTTTACTTGGTTTTAACATTTTTAACAGTTTTTCCACAAAGATTTAAATCACAGGTCTGTTTATCAAGATTTCATTTTTTTTTAATCAAGCAAAGTGTTAAGGAAGAAAACAAAGTTACTTTAAGTGTTAATGTTAGGAATGAGCAAGGAAAAATTGTACCTACTTATCTCTGAAGCATGAAAAAAAGTCAACATGCCTTTTAGAATGAGTTCAAAGTAAATAACTTTGTTTTTGTGCAAATGAAAATGCCCTCATCATTGTCTTTCTTGAATCTATGTTGCAGCGAGGCTGCTCCAACCTGTTGTAATTACTTGCTTAATCAAGTCTGCTGGTGAGTGTGGTAATTACCATTCTCCAGCGGACTCCAGTGTCTTGTGTATTAGAGTCCCCGTGCTGAAAAATGGTGGAGGGCGTGGATATTGTGGATTATTGTGGACATGTTATTGTGGAATATTTTCAGGAAAAGAGACATTAATTCTTTTAATGCAAACGTGTTTTTCAGAAAAGTAAATGCAGTGACTTAGGGTGACTGATTCTGTGAAGTACTGTATTATTGTTTCTTACTGTCTGAGAATTTAGGACTCTTCATTTTGGATTTAGGTAAATAAATCCACAGTTCTGCAAATGTGATTGACTTGTGTTAAGTAGAACTGTCAGGAAGAAACAAACAAATAGGTAGCCAATTTTTGAGAGAAACTAACTTTTTCAAGCTTTTACATGGAAATATAAACTCCATTTAAAAGGAATATACATGAATATGCTACAGACCAAAACACAATTGTGATTCTGTGTGCATTTATCTACAGGGATTCCAGTCCTGTGTATGCACCCAAAACACACAATACTAAATTCTTTTGAATAGCAGTAGCCTTTGCCTATTCACCTATGGAACTTATGTGTACAAGACCATAAGGGACAAGACAGCCTCAGCTCATACTCTTTCTTCCTGTAATTCATGTTTTCTGCTTCCTGATCTATCTGCCACTGTGTTGCCTGTCCCTTCCCAGTCTGCTGCATGCCACACACAGGGTGTTTATGCTACTTCTGGTGTCAGACGTTGGCTACCCCTTCTCTGTGCTATAACTTTTTTTATATACCTGACTACTGTAGTTACTTGAATCCAAGATGAGGAATTTTTTTGAGGATATTGTGGAGGTGAATTTAAGATGCCCCCCCCCAATAATTAGATTCTATACTTTAAAAATTACAACAATTTTATAATCTAATTATAAATCTAATTATTGGGGTTGTCTTAAATTCAAAGTAATCTTGGATTGGGGTAAATATGGTGCCTTGCTTTGATTTGTTGTTAATTTGATTTGTTGAAAAACAAGTGTTTACTTTGTTTATATTTGGGAAGCAGCAGATAAGCCGGTGGACTAGGAGGCTGTACATCTGTGAAACCATGAAAAGTGTTTTTTAGTACCAATGCATGCTGCTATGGAACCTTTAATCACATTCTCAGTCTCTGATATAGCTCTCAAACTCCTTATTTTCCCTTTAAAAATATTTTAAACTGAACAGTGCCATTACATCTTTGTGTCTGCTTTAGGGTAATTTACACCTTTGGCTAGCAACACCAACAGTTTTCCAGGTTTCCAAGTTCCAGCCTTAACCTCCTCTTTTAAAGCACAAAATGAGGAGCTGCACTGCACGTGAAGCTGAAAAAAATCTTGGAGCTGAACATTTCATAGGAATAAACTTTCTTGCCAGATTATACACCCCTCATCATTTAGGCAGGCCTAGCAGCAACACAGATAAATCTGCTTTTTCAGGTTTTCAGCAAAACCAAAAGTGCTCTTGCATTTAAACTCAAATTAATTGATGTTTGAGGATTAAAAAGAAGAGCCTTCTAAAATGGCCAAAAATGTAAGGGGAGACTTTTTTTTAACTCACTTTGCTTATTTGCACAGTGTGCTGTATGTGAGCTACCGCTGAAGACAAGACAGCTATGCTTTTTATATGACTTCCTGATTGTGGGACATTGTCCTCTTAATTTAGAATGGCTGTAAAAAAATCTCCGTAATTCTTTTCAACGAATATCCTTTCATTTATGTTGCGTTTCTTTCTTGCATTGTGCCTATTTTAGAATTATAAAAACACCATTATGGCAAACACAAGGAATATCCAATTTTTCTACTCCCTAAGATCTCCCCCAGGTGTTTTAGTATAGGGTGATTCACACCCCCAGGCCATGTTTGTTTCTTGGATAACTATTCAAGACTCCTTTCCCAAAGAGCAAAGTATCAGCTAGTGTGTGAGAATAGATGGTTTTATGTTTTGAAGGCAAATCTGGTATAAGAAATGGCCTCTTTCTGTCCAGGGTATTTACTATTTCTCATTTATCAATTTTCAGCACTGCTTAAGCCCCAATCTGTGGATTGACCCAATCAAAATAGTGTAATATGTTTACTTGGAGTATTTAGCCCCCAAATTATATTCTTTTATGTTGTTGTTATGCATCTTAGTCTATACTGGTATGTCTGTGCTGAATGGGTGAGCTTTATTAGCAAATAGGAGCAACTGTCACATTCTGTAGGATAGAACAGAAGGGACAGATTTCTTTTCATCTGGTATAAATGACAAAAACCTTGTGTGTAATATTATTAAATAATGTATTTCAAATAGTTAACAGATTTTTATGAGCAGCTATCATTCTTATTTGTAGACTGCAGTACACATCTGTATTGTATTTACCATTTTCAATTTTATATCAAGTATTTTCTAGTCTAATATACTTACCTAGTATGTCTTTGCATAATTTATCTTTTTTTTTTAAGGGAGCTACTATTAAAAGGGATGAACATACTGGTGCAATTGTGGTGGCTAGGATAATGCGGGGAGGAGCTGCAGACAGAAGTGGTAAGTTGTATTTGTTTTTGGTACTGGCCATTCAAATTTTTAAAAAGCAAGAAAAATGTTTTTTATCTTTTGAGTTGTTTGTTTGCATGAAATGTAGTAGAACTACAAAAAAGATGAGCAGAACCCTGCTCTTCTCCTCCCCACCCCACCCCCAGGGTGGATGGGCTAGCTTGGGCCCAAGCTGTCTGCTCCAGCCAGCAGGGAGGCATGTTCTAGCACCTCTGTCCCCTGGCTTTTGCACTGAGCCACTGCAGGCGTGTGGTTGCATTTTCAGAATCAAAAGTGAATGTCTGTTCACTTGCTTATTGATTCAATCTATGCAATTTAGACTAACCTGCGAAGATTGAATCGATTCAGTCTTGGGCTTTTTGATAGTCTGTACTTCGCCCTGGGGAGCTTCTCTCCCTGCAGCTTGCAGGGTCTGGCTCAGGCCCTGGGATTATATGCCTCATAGCCCTGTCTCTTTCTGTCATGTGGCTCCTCAGTTATGCACAGGAGTTTACCCTTTTTAAATTAGCAGCCAAACTGTGCTCCTGCTGTTGCCACCTCATGTAGCCAGCTTAGCCCGCTGCCTGCTCTTAAAGTAACAGGAGCCCTCTGGCTCTCTGTTACATTGAGAGACTGGTTGGTATCTAGGATTCAGTGCAAGGAGGCTCTCTGGTCTTGAGAGAGATAGACTTCAGCTTGGCAGAGAGGGAAGAAGATGAGGGGTGGAGTGTCCCAGCAGCAATGGGGGAAGCTGTCCCCCAGTTAAGGAGTAAAACCTCTTGTCTACCCACTTCCCCCCCAGCAGGCACTGCTAAATATCGTGCTGAGTGAAAAAACAGAACCCATAATTTGGAGGTACAGAGTACCTCCTTATCTTCATCCCCCAATTCATTTCCCCAAGCACTTAGCTGCCAGGACCTGAGAACTTCCCTGACATCACTGCTCAGTTCCTAGCCCCTCTTCACAGAGCCCAAAATACCACATAGCTCCATTGATACCAGTGCCTCCCAGCCTCAGTTCTAATGCACCTGTCCCATCCCCCCCCTTAATTGGCTCCTGGGGCTCATGTCCCTCTCACCTACCCATAGTTATGATACTGGTAGTTGGGAGAGGTTTTAGATAATTTTTTGGACACAAGGTGCCCTTCCTCAGGTCTGGTTCCTTGTATTTCTCTATATAACTTTTAGATTAAATTAAAAAGTAAATTACAATAAAGTATTTCAAACATGAAAGGTCTGACCCTGTTGACAAAAGTAGGATTTAGTTTTGTTTTTTACAAATCAATTTGCTTATCTGTAGTGCAAACACTTGATACAATTAATAATAGTATTTTAAAAAGAGTGTGCGTTTTTTGATGGTGTGTAGTTTTAGTTGGTCATTTAGTTACTGGTTTTCATTCAGAACTTCACATAACATCCTCATAAAGTCATCACGACTGAGGACCTGGTTAAATTATAAATACTTAAATGTATGTTAAATATTTGAAGGAAATGCAGTGCACTGAGTGAAGAAAGTATAGTAGTAGGTGGAAATGGCACACTATAGCAAGCTTCTTAAAGCTCAGAAGACTTCAGTGGATATAACTGATTCCCAAATCTAATCTAAATGCACAGCTGTTTCCTACTAAGTCATGTCATGTGCTGATACAGAAGTAAACAAGTGCTTCAGTGCTCCCAAATAATATTGTTTCTATTGTACTGCCTGCCCTTCAGGTGGTAGATATTACAACCAATTTCCAAAACCTTCAGCTTTTGGTTCTTTTCCATTTCAGCACCACTGGACATGTCCATACTATGGCGGCACCATGTCTTGGTCATGATGTTCCTGTGCACATGCCACCCAGTTGCTGCCTCTTACATACTGCCAACCCAAAAGATGCTAGTGTAGGCACACCTCTGCACACACTCTTAAACCTTCATCTCTAGTATGCTTGGGAGGGGTTAGTGTCATTGACCTTGAGCATCTACACTGAGGTGTGCTCAGGACTTTCCCAGCCAGAGCGTTCTACTCCCTCAAAGGAAATTAAAAAAGGGCATATTTCAGTATCGTAATAGGTGAGTGGGGCAAATGGAAGGCTCCCAGGAGTTTTTGTCACAGCAGGTGCAGCGTCTAAAATGGTTGGCTTATCCTCCTCCCTAACCCTACCCCAGACACTGAATGAGCTTGCTACACTTTTGCATATATGCTTGTTTTGTTTGTATTTCTGTCAAGGAAGTTAATTTTACCTTGTTTTCCATTGGCAATTGCTCCTACAACATCTTTAAATTGATTTAAAAGTATATCCAGATCCTATTCCATGTGCTATGTTAGAAATCTAAGCCCTTGTCCGAATTCTGCCTGCAGAGCTGCATCAGCAAGTGGTGTAACAAGATCATACCAGTAACTAAGCTCTTGCAGGAAAGCTCCGTGTGGATACAGCTCTGATGGTAGAAGATGGCCTCTGATTTTGGTGACTCTTGTGTAGCTTTGGCAACAGAAAAATCTTGCCGGCAAAGATGTATCCATATTGGGAAGGTGCTGCTGCTGTAGATAGAGACAGCAGCCCCCATAGTGTAGATGTAGCCGAAAGGGGGCTTAAGGAGCTTTTAGCAGTCTAGATCTTTATGTGCAATCCAGTTCTACTCTTGTGTCCCAGAAAAGCCATTAATGTGCCTGCCTCTTAAATCATAAGCTCCTACACCACAATAAGTGAAGAGAAATACGACCCAAATCCCATAGTCTAGAGGTTAGTCACTTGCCCAGAATGGAAAGGAAGGCAAAAGATGGGCTCTCCTTCTTTCTTCTATTCTCCCCCGCCATCTTTTCAGGTAAGCATATTCCCTCTGGGCAATTTGGATGTGGAGTCTTGAGTCAGATGCCTGAGAGTTCACCCCACACCATGCGTAGCATTTCCTGTTGACTCTCTCTAGGCAACTTCCTGCTCAGTGCTCACATGCTCTGGAGGTGCATAAGGCTGCCCATTGCGAGAATGGAGTGATCTGTGTACCTCCCCAGGGATAATGCCTCTATTGAGGTGAGATGCATGATTTTGGGAGGGAGGGCCACATAAGTTTAGGCATCTAAGAGGTGAATAGGATCTGGGCCTTAGTATTTCCTTCATGAGTGTAACTTAGTAATTTTTAAAGCAAAAACAAATTGCCTTGTGATCAGTCTTGCACTGTGTATTCTCAACTCCCATTAATCAATGAAGAATGCTCAGCATCTTGCAAGATGGGATTTGAAGTCAGTATATATGTATGAGGTTTTTTTTGTCAGACTTGAGCTGTCCAACACTAGGGAAGTGGGATAAGTGGTCCTAGTATCTGTATACTAGAAAGAAACTTGGAAAGTTGAAGGTACAATGCTTTTGGAAGGATGGAAGAGAAACAATCTATCATCTATCTCAAATTCTTCATGATGATCTTGGCTACTGCAGTGTTTACCATATATAGCATCCGGAGCAGTGATTGTCAACTAAGGGGCCTTTTAAGGGTGCCATAGGATGTTGTGGAATATTAGCACTGTTTGATGTACAAACGCCTAGACATGATTCAAAAGATAAACCTAGATATTTCAAATAGGAATCCATAGTGTCAAAAATATTCTGACCTGTTGTGGTCTTACAACAGAAGTTCCTTGTAGCAGAAGAACTGCTCTCTTAATTTTCTGTAGCCAGAAAGCAAGTAAAAGGTAAGAGCTGGCTTTTGAAGGGGTTGCCTTGGGCCCAGTGAGGGGCACTTTGAATCTAAATAGGTTAAGAACCATTGAGGTATAGACAAATTGTAGAAATCGGTGACTCCAGCTTGGAGGAAACAAACAGAAAAAACGTAGAAGGTCTGAATCTTGCTGTAAATTGTATTAATGAAACACTATAGCCGTTTAACAACAAATAAAGCATTTTATTAATTGTGTAGGACTTATTCATGTTGGTGATGAACTCAGGGAAGTCAATGGCATTCCTGTAGATGATAAAAAACCAGAGGAAATAATACAAATTTTGGTAAGTGATAAACATTTTTAAACTAGTTTAGCAAAAATTAAAGTATGTCAACAGATTTTCTGTTTCAGTGTATCTTTCTTTGAAAAAGTATGATACAAGATGGATTTTTTTTTTCTTTTTTCCTTTCTTGGTACCATTTTTTGCATCCCTATGTCTCCCTTATCTTAAAAAATGATGTGTCACACTTTGTTATGGTTCTGCTTATAAATGGCTTATGAAGGCGTAAGAAATTATGAAAGATCATAGGATCATAGAAAAGTAGTGCTGAAAAGGACTTTGTGAGGTCTAGTTCAACCCCCTGCTCAAGGCAAGAGCATCCCTCACTGAAGTGTCCCAGCCAAGTGTCTGTCTAATCTGCTTTTGAAAGTTTCCATGCCTGAAGATTCTACAACTTCTCTAGGTAGCCTGTTTCAATGCTTGACCACTCTCATAGTCAGAACGTTCCTCCTAATTCCTAGCCTAAACTTCCGCAATGCAGCTTGAGGCCATTGTTCCTAGTTCTGTCACCTACAGCTAAGAGAGAGGCTCATCTCCATCCTCTCTAACAACCCTTTAAGTATTTGAACACCATTATCAAATCAGTCTTCTCTTCTCCAGACTTGGCAACCTTAGCTCTTTCAGCTTTTCCTCATGAGTCTCATCTCCCAGGCTTCAGATCATTTTTGTTGCTCTACACTGGACTCTTTCCAAACTGTCCACATACTTTTTAAGTGCAGGGCCCAAAACTTCACACACTACTCCAGGTAAGGCCTCACTGGTGCTGAAGAGAGTAGATGAATAACTTTCCTTGATTTGCAAGCAACACTCCTGTTAATACACCCCAGGATGCCGTTGGTGTTTTTTGCAACAAAAGCACACTGTTGGCTCACATTTACCATATGGTCCTTCTCTGCAGTACTGCAGCCTAGCCAGCCATTCCCCAGTTTGTGTTTGTACATGTGGTTACTCCATCCCAAGTGCAGGACTTTGCACTTGCTCTTCTTGAATCTCATCTCATTGATTGTGGACCATGTTTCCAGTGTCTCCAGGTCATTCTGGATCCTACTCCTACCTTCTGGAGTGTCCACAATTCCACCCAAACTGGTGTCGCCTGCAAATTTGCTAAGTATGCACTCAATCCCATCATCCAAATCATTAATGAAGATGTTAAACAATACCAGACCCAGGACAGACCCCATGATACCTCCTCTCAACTAGACGTTGAGCCCTTGTGAGGACTCCTTCCTGAGTACAGTGATCCAACCAGTTATGTATCCACCCTACAGTACTTTAATCGATATTTCCTTAGCTTGTTAATGAAGATAATGTAGGAGGCAGTATCCAAAGCTTTGCTAAAGTCGAGGTATACCACATCCACTTTTCTCCCCTCATCTACAGAGCCTGTCACTTCATTATAGAAGGAAATGGGGTTGGTCAGGCATTACTTGCTCTTGGTTAATCCATGCTGACTGTTCCAGATCACCTTGTTCTCCTCTAGGTGCTTCTTGAGAACCTGCTCCATGACCATTCCAAGTATAAAGATCAGGCTGACTGCTCTGTAGTTCCTCTTCCATTCCTTTCTTAAAGATGAGCACCATATTTACCCTTTTTCCACTTATCTGGGACCTCACCTGACCTTTGGCTCTGAAATTACTTCAGCCAGTTGTTTCAGTACCCTCAGGTGTGTCCCATCTGACCCTGCAAACTTGAAAGCATATAGCTCAGGGGTGGGCAAAATGGCAGATCTGGCTGGCAGTCAGACTCCATTTCCCAGCAGTCCCTGCCCGCATGGCTGGGGCCAGGCTTCAAGGACACCCCAGCTGCGCTGTGATAACACAAGTCTGGGGTTACCATGGAGACTGGCCCAGCCATGCTGGCAGGGGGTGTGGCAGGGCAGGGGGCTGCTCCAGAGCCACTGGGATCTTGTGCCAGGGGCAGCTTGGTCTGGGGCCAGGGCAGAGCCACACTCTGCAGTCTGTGTGCTCCGGGCAGGGGTGTGCAGGCAGTGGATTGTGTCTCTGCCCTAGCTCCTTGCTGCAGATCACTACAACACTACATGAGCAGACAAGGAGCAACAAAATCTTCCTGCGGGACCAGGGACTGAAGGCAAAAGGTATGCACAAAGAGTAGTTTCCCTCTTCCGTGTTTAGGTGTGCACGAAGAGTGGTTGTTCCTTAAGGACATGATCCTTGAAGCACAAAGGAAGTCCATTCCCATGTTGCGAAAAGGTACCAGAAGAGGTACATTTAGAAGAGGTTTAGCCAAGAGGTACCAAAGTACCAATTACATCATAATTCTATGATCGTACTAGGACTTCCATTTCATCCTGTTTCTTCCCCATAATTCTCACATTATTATATAAACATTTATCTGACTGCCTTGTCCTCTCCCAAAGGATGTTGCTAAGGTTTCCATTATTGCTTCCCTTTAATAAGTTTTTATCCAGTCTCCTGGCTTTTTACTTATCTCTGGGCTTTTGTCTCCATCCCCCCAGTTAATTTAGTTTAAAGCCCACCTTGCTAGGTTAGCAAGCCTCTTCGTTACGTGGACCTCATTCCTTCCCAGCAGTCCGTTTTCTTGGAACACTATCCCATGGTCAAATAAGACCAAGCCCTGCAGATTACACAATCTACGCAGCCATGTAGATGTTATAAACCTGTTGCAAACATGGAGAGTTAAGTTGCAATTATAAGAACCATGTTTGGTTCTAACAATTTAGTCACGTAACAAATCATTATTAAGCCTTCATAAACAATTTATAAATGGAATCTTAATATAGTACTTTATTTGGTTATATATGAATAGTAGTAATGTTGTTCTTTCTCAGGCTGTGCTCCCTTATACCTTACCACTACTAAAGCCAATATAAGCTCATGGCTGTGAAAAAATACCATAGACTAAATTTCTCAATTTAGTCTTTCAGGCCCCTGGCAGTTATTTCCATCAAACAACAGACAATACCGGTCCATGGAAACATCACACCATGTGACCTGCTTCATGTTCACGGGGGAGGCTATCCAAAGGGGAAGAAGGTGCCTTGGGAACTCCCTTGGCCAGCACCCAACAGCAAGCAGACTGGAGAGCTGAGGGCAGGGGTTGTTTATCCTCACCTTCATTTGTGCTGTGCTGGGACTGAAGTTAGCTGGGCTTCCCCCTCTCCCACTTTGGAGTGAAGGAGATGTTCCTCTGACCCTTATGCAGATCTGGGGAGATCTCCATCTCTCCCCAGGTCAGACAAGTAAAGCGTGTCACTTGAGTGTTTGTTTACATGCTGGCTTGCATAGAGAGATGCTAAATGGCTTCTTAAAGAAGCAGCCGTGAAGGCTGGTTGGAGACAGGGAGGAGGGGTGGTGAATCATGATACCTCTTGCTGCTGTGCCTTGAGGAAGAAAAGTTAAGCTCGAGTCACAGAGTCCCCTTGCAGAAAGAGTGGGAAGGAGGGGTAGGGAGAGGAACAGTGCACCCTGGGATACTGGACTTGCCCAACCTGTAACATATGCCACAGATTCAAATTGAAATGAGATACAAACAAGCTGCAAAGATATTCTACAATCATGTTACAAGTAACATCTTTGTGGCTGGTTCACCATTTTTGTGGCTTATCAGGTGATAAAGTGATTGAATTTGTGGCATGTGATTTATCATGTGATTTAACACATTAACCATCCCAGGGATATAAAAATGCATACCATTTTTACTGCAAAGGATCAAAGACTTGGGTAGGTTGGAGAAGTGTCGGTAGTTCTTCCTGTTCTTGAGGTAGTCGTTTGGGGGGGGAGGTTTCCTCCTGTTAAAAAGATTATTTTATATCATTTTGGTTAAGTAGCCAAAATAATTGACTTTTGCCTGTCTACCTTCCTAGTATTCTGTGTGTGCTTTTGTGTTCCCTATGGAAGTCTCTTTTCAGCAAAATTAATATTTAAAAAAAAATCTTGAGAAACGACAGCAACAGAAAAAGTTTGAACAATTTTCCCCGTTTGCCTCAGTGAAGTACAGTATAAACATCAGAAGCTCGTTAGAACCCTTTCGGTGAGAATGGAATTATTGATTCCAGTCCTGCTGTTGGTGAAATAAGAAACTTGGCTGCTGTTTGTCAGACAGTGAGCTTTTGGATCACAGGATTGCAGGCAAAAGTATGTCTCACTTGGTAGTGGACAAGCCTGTTTCCATTTTGCTTAAATCGTTGGCTGTGTGTTGCACTCTGCTAGTTTTTATGAAATCCATTGGCTGCCTGCAACAGTAACAGAGTCTCCAGCTGATTAGCACTTCCTTCAATAGCAAAATGTCACTGAGGCAGTGGGAATATATTGTGGTTTATAAGTAAAATGCAGCCAAATACACATACTTTTAATGGGTCATAGGAAAAGAGAAGTGGATGATGAGATGGCTGATGATGGTTAACTTGTTTGAAGATTTATAGGGGTTTTTTTCCCCCTGGTGTACACAGCCTACTCAAAAAATGTTTTGATTCTTCTATTCTTTTTAACTCAGCACAAGAATAAAATCCTAGGAAAAATATGTTTATACTATAATTGTGACAAAAACCTGTTTGAATATTTCTATCCATTTTCTGAATGATGAAATGTTAGTTGGATTATCCCAGAGAGGTCCAAACTTTGCCAGGAGCGTAGTGGTTGCTTCTGTTGCACATAAAAATTAAAGGCAAATGCAGTTTTTCATTTTTAATATGGAGCAATAACCTCTGAAGTTGCAGGTTCCAGTCTTTAACACAAAGTTTTGTCTTTACTTCATGGTAGTCCACATAGTAAATAAAAACATTGCGGACCAGAAACTTATCTTTATAGTTCACAGCTTTGCATTATGACAGAACTCCTGGGATTGTGTTTGGAACATGGGCTGAATTTTAGTTATTCATGCATTAGTTTGACGTCTCTTTTGCTGTTTTTAGACTTTCTGCATTAATTTTTTAGGATGCTAAATTCTTAATGTACTTTCTTTTAAAAAATCTTCAATAGGCTCAGTCTCAAGGAGCAATTACATTTAAAATTATACCTAGTGTGAAAGAGGAAATGCCAGCTAAAGATGGCAAGGTAAGCACTAATTTATTTCATAAGCTGTTTATGATGACTCTTCTGATCAAATGTTAATGTTCAGTGCGACACACAGGCAAATTGAAGACACCCATATGGATGTATTTAATTAACAGGATTTAATTTGACTAAATCATATGAAGGGGAATATTATTCCTTTCCTCTTCCCCTGCTTGCTTTCGTAGGTATTTAATTAGGTACACACTGCAGGTTCCAGGGCTTCTAACACATGCCCAATAAGAGTGGGTAGATGAGGGGTTAGCCACCTTCAGCCTGCTGGCCACATTTGACCTGCAGAGAGACTTTATCTGAGCCACTAAGCCAGATGTTGGGGGCAATTTTGGGGAAAGTGCTGGTCTACTTTTGGAGCAGGCTGCAGTAATTCAGCCTGCTGTTGCTAAAAAATTGCCAATCCCCAGGGTATGTCATTTTCAGCCACACCCCTAGAATTTAACTGGTTTCTGAAACCTCTTGTAAAAACCCACCTGTAAGGAGGTAAAGTTACCAAGTTGGACTGCAGTCAACAAATCCTTCAGATGACCTTTTCTCTTTCTTAACAGAAGGTCCACCATTAAAACCTTGAGCCTCTGTTTTTCTTTGGGAAATTGACCCTTTTAGCCTTTCTTGACCCTGAACTCTGTTAGCAGGTTGCAACATGCTAAATGTCTTATAACTTCCTAAGGTTAAACTTCCGCATAGACAGTTCACAGCAACAAGCATTTCTAACAAGACCTAAGGTCTTTTGTACATTGAAAAGAAAAAAAAAAAGAAACCTGTGACTTACACTTGCAGATATGTTTGTATCTGAAATAAAGCTGTTTGTTCCAGATGTTTATCAGAGCTCTGTTTGACTACGATCCTAATGAGGATAAAGCAATTCCTTGTAAAGAGGCTGGGCTTGCTTTCAGAAAAGGAGAGATCCTTCATGTCATGAGCCAAGACGATGCAACCTGGTGGCAGGCCAAGCATGACGGTGATGCCAATCCCAGAGCAGGCTTGATCCCTTCAAAGCATTTCCAGGAGAGGTGAGCTACTAAGCAGCACACTATAATTTTTCTCCTTGTTGTAAAAAGAAAGCCTTTGTACTGCTTTACAGCATAGTTGTCATACATGTGCTCACAGATTACAAGGTTATGATAAACTTTAAAACCTTGTATTGCAGTAAGACAGCTAAACTTGGAAGCTCACTGCCTAAATAGTTTGGATTTCCTCACTTGTCTGGCTAGAATGAATAATGACAAAAACTGATAGGATAGTGCTGATCGAGTTTGGAAGAAAGGCCATATGGAAAATAGCACATCAGTATCTGTATTCACATTGATGTGCTATGCAGGAATAAGCTGCAGCTGTTTTTGGAGAACTTACAAAAATGTGAGACTTAAGGATTTAATTTTTGTAGAACTTGAATAATTGCATTGTTTTGGGTTCATTTTTAAAAAAATCTTTCAGTTTCTTTTACAAGAGTGTCATGATGATGAGTGTGTATTAATCCCAACCTTGCTATGAAAACTTAGTCTGTCCCTGTCACCTCCCATTTTCTAGAAGATTTGCACTGAGAAAACCAGAAGTTCAGATTCAGCCACTGAAAATTTCCAACAGAAAATCATGTAAGTATGTTAACCTGGAATAGAAATTATGCTCTTGATCTCTAACCTTTAAAACATCAGTTTGTTTCATCCCAGTCAGGAGGATTTACTACTTGAAGGCAGACTAGCTCAAGGATCTCGTTGTCACAATACAAATGTTTTGTGGGTTCTTTTATAAATATTTACATATGCAAACTGAAAGCGTGTTTTTTCTTAACCTTCCAAATTCTTATTAAAAATGTGGGCCCAATTTTAATCTATGAATAGGTCATTCCTTTT